ACCTATCTTCCCCTGTTCACAGATCTGGAGGGCTGGAGCCTTTTCCATGCAGTCATCGGACAAAAAGCAGAGTTCAGATTTGATTATCCTTCACAGGACCACCCCAAAGACTCAGCTCATCACTAAATTTGCATTCTTTACTTAAGGTAAAATATTTACTTTTCCTTGTAGTGGGAGAAAAGTACACGGAAAAAAACAACCCAGACTATAGGTTTGAATTAGAGTTAAATCTAAGGTCTCTGCACAAACCATGTTTTGGATGTCCAAAATTTCTGCTTAGTTAAGATGGAGTTTCATTCTGAATAAAGTGAATAAAAAAATAAAAAAAAATACATACAAGTTTTAGAGGTTTCTACTAATTAAACAGAAACTATTTTACTGGCAGATTGTTTTCTTTGTAATGAAATTATCCAAATGTACAATTTATTACCTTAATTCAATTTTCAATTTATCTCTAAGACTGATATCAATAATGCAGGAGGTTTTTAAATCAGCTGACGTAGCTCAACCTCCATGCTGACGCACAAAACTTGGAGAGAATTGCTAAACTGATGGACAGATGCTCAGTTCTGTTATCATTCAGACAATTATGCTGTTTACTTGTGTGCGTGTGTGCCTACACTCTAACACTAATACAATAATGTATCCACAACTATACAGGAGAGGGCTTATTAGATAATATTCTGCAACCAGTGCAAAAAGATTAGGGGAAGTTTGTGTCATGGAGGTACTGTCTGCACAAATTAAGCAGACAGATGCTAGTTTTTCAAGCGGTCCTTATAGAGAAGGGGAGGCTAAAATCACAACACTAGAGGACAAGACCTACCCTGCCCTCAAAATATATATTTTTTCTCCTAGCAATACTTTAAAATGTTGTTTGTATCCCAAAGTTTGTCAAAGTGGCACCCTGCACTTGGTGTGTCACAAATCAAGGTTCAACAGTTAATCATCCTTCCTCCATGGATTGAAAATTTGTCCTTTTACCTTCAGCAGGACGAAGTAGTGTTGCAGTCGTCTGGTCTTAGTTGAGCCCAGCTAATGACACTGTAATCCAGCAAATTAGTCGCAATCACGTTATTCAACCCAATTATACAATTTATAAGCTACTCAGACAAGTATTTAATTTGAGATCATTCAATATAGATTTGTGGTCAGAAAGGCCAGGGCTGCTTTCCTGCTGTTTTCTGGCACCACTAGAAAATTAATTTCTGGGTGAGTACTGATGATGTCACAATCCACTACAAAATGGTCATCTCATCTAACATCACATCCATTTCAATAAACCTAAAACATAGTGCTGCCCACGTAGCTGAGAAAACAGAGTTCATGTTGTTTTTCATGTTGTTTTATATGTCCTGCAATTAACCCCCCCAGCCACCCCCCACCCCCCCAATCTTCAACCATCTTAGTCACTTATAAATCTCAAAGCAATCTTAAACACCTTAAAGGTTTGTCAAGAATATAACCTTTGAGCATCTCAGGAACACAGAAAACCATTAGATGATTTATATAAGTAAAAACATGGATAATCTGGAGTATTTTAAAATTAATTATCTGTTTATCAACAAGCCAGCAAAATAGGTAGGGGGATTTATTTCTGCCTTTCTTAAGTTGTCTTGGTGATCCCCAAAACGTCTGGCAAAATGTTCTGATGACTGATGAGACAAAACAGCTATTCAGAGAAATATGGGGAAACATGCTGCTTTTAGTGCGAGAATTTCAACTTCAACCTTATTTTCGTAGTCTCTTACATTTGGTGTATAGGAGGGTAATAACATACAAAAAAAAAAAAAAAAAAAAAAAACACATGGGAATACAATTACATTATATCACAAACACCACATAAATGTAGGGCCATTAGTTTGTGAGCTTTTAGACAAGCAAAGTTGGGGTATCCAAAATGACAATTAGATAAAAATGAATAATTCTTTCTTGATCAGTAGTAGTAGTAGTAGTTGTTGATCAGTAACTTATCATGTTTCTGGAGGCAGTTACTTTTTCACAAAGTGTAGGATGGATCATGTAGCTGTAGGTGTTTTCCCTTTCCATAAGATTGTTTGCCTCACAATAAAAGCTGTTGATGAAACATTTCAATGTAACTTGAAGGTCAAAGAAAACCTGTATGTTGGTGATTCATTCCTCTCCTTTGTAATCCCTTCTTCAGGACTAATAAGAGTCACAATTAAATACCCCAAAGTTTTTTGTTAAAATGACACAGAATGGAACACAGAATGGAACAGATCCATATTTGTATTAATTCAGGGTCCAATTATGTTTCCACATTGGTTTCACCATCCTGTTTGTCAAATATACCCGTGCAATACAAATATGGAAGAAAACCTGAAAACTTCTATAATATAATCTAATCTAATCTTTTAAGCAAAAAAAAAAAAAGTCAAAATGCCCCATAATAACCTTTTCATGTCTGGTAAAGTGGGCGCGTGTAGCATCATGGAAAGATTTAACCTTATTTTTAAGAGAAGTCATTAACAAGCAGCTGGATATCCTGTTAAGAAAATTACATAAACTAATAATGTTTCACTACAAAAACATCACCTCTCAAAACAAAAACAAAGTAGTCACAAAAACAGTTTGTTCAGGATTATCACGCATTAGGTGTGCGTATGAGGACACCTGCATGTCTGCTTCTGTTTACAGGCTTTGAGTCTGCCTTTTTTCTCCAAGTGTGTGTATGTATGCTATTGATCTTGTCTGTCTGAAAGAAGAGACCCTATCTCAAATTGATTATCTCACTGTTTGTACTGTGTAAGAGTATCAGGGCTGATTGTTGACCCCAGACTCTCCTTCTGGTTGTCTCTTTGTTTGACTTCAGGGCATTAGGAAATGTTTGCTTGTGCACTATTACCATTACTGTCTTTAAACAGTCTTTAAACAGCCATTGCACTGCACCATGTAGAATCCAAATCTGGTGCAATTCAGCTTAAACCAAACCAGTTATTTCCAACTTGAATTAGTCTAGTTACATCTAGTCAGTTTAAGTCAAAATGAAATGCAATACATCCTAATTCAGTTGATTGTACAATCCTACCTAGAAGAGTCCTTCATCTAGGGAAACCAGGTCAGTTGCATATTAGCAATGGTGACAGTGCAGAGGAACCTGTCACTTTTAACAAAAATAAACCAGTGTCATGCTAGATTCAGACCGCACGCTGCAGAAGTAGCTAGTTTACAGGTGGAGCTACTGGCTTATTCCTGGCGGCTTCTCCGCAGGGCCTGGCCAGTTGGGGCCCGGCTGGGGCTCCCGCCGGGGTGTGCCCCTGGGGCCTCGGATCCCTGGGGCCCATGGCCGGATTTACTTAGGGGTGGCTGGCTGCTGGCGGAGCCCGAGCTCCAGCATTGCGGTGGCTGGGGGACTTCCTCTGGGCTGTCTCTCCTCCTCCCTTGCTGGGGGTCAGATTTCCTGGGCTGGCCCCTCCTTGGCGCCTTCGCTCTTGGGGTCCCTTTGGGCGTCTGGGGCTTTGGGTCTCCCAGCGCTGGACTCAGTGCTCTTGGGGGGCGCCTCTTCACAACCACTATTGAGCATTTTTTCCTTTGGATAAACTTTACATGCACAAGTGCACTTTCACAAACAACTACAGGGGCTTGGTCCCAGGAACTTAGAGATTCGCATCTATACAGAAAGCCCATATTCTTATCTTCAGGTAACACAGAATATATGTCAGATTAAATAATACTACTTATACTTCAGCTATAGTATCTAGGTGTTACTTTATTGTATATCTTGTGGCATGTCCGTTGGTTGTGCTGTTCAATTTACATCTCTTTGCAGGTGATGAAGCAGACTGAAAAAGTGTTTTATCACTATTTCCCCTTTATCTCCTCTTTCTTTAATCTTTTCTCCTTTTTTTCTGTTTCCCTTTCCTGTTCTACCTACATTGCAACATCCATATAATCTGTAAAACTAACATAATTATAATAAAGCAATTTATATGCATGAAACAACGGGAACACTATGGCGATAGCCATACTGCTCCACTTGTGAAATTAAAATCTGTTGGGCTCTTTTTGCCATCAAGACAATTTTTCTTATTGCCACATCGCCAGACAGGACACTGTTAAAAAAAAAAGAAAAAAAAAAAAAAAAAAAAAAAAGAAGCAGCTAGTTTACATGCAAATTCAATGGTTGACGTGGATCAAGGCGCAGTAAAAATGCAGCCGACATTAAGCTTCTATACTTCTGTGTTATTATATCCAGAGGGCTCAAAATCAAGCTGAGACAACTGACCTTAGATAACTAGTCTGCAGCTTATTGTGTAACAATAATCTAGCAATTGTTTAAACATTTCACTCTTTTTCTCTTCGGCTCTTACTTACTTGCAGCATATACTGTATAATTGAATCCATAAATATCACTATAGTCCAGATTAGGTGCTCTGATCTTGGTGGTTAAGGATGAATTTGGGATTAAATAAAGCCTGAAAACGACAATAATGTTAAGGTGATTTAGATCTTCCTGAGTTGTTGTCGATTCTCAATCTTGCTTTGGAAAACCTGATTTATGCTGTCATTAACTAAAAATAATGAGACCTGGAAAATCACAGCAGCCAATCAAATAAAATAACACATTATTAAGTTTTGTAATGTAGATTTAACTGTTTAATCATATAATAATTGCAGCATAATTACCCTTTATATACACATTTAGATGGAACAATAAAAGCAGCATTGTTTACATTTCTGCATCAGCAATCACCAGTGCTGAAAAAAATGGGATTGTATTAGCATTATAAAATACAGTTTGTGTGTACAGCATCAGGTTGACTGTAAAGAAAACTTTAACTACTGATGAGGTGATTAAGTTGAGGAAGACAAACAACTTTACTACAATCAAACTCCAGCACAAAGCCAGAAAAAGGTTAGGTTAATATTTTACCAACTTTGGCCATTTGACAACTCCGGGCTGCTTACAGACTACGTGCAGACCGTGTAGCGCATTCAGCTGATAAAACGGAGAGCTTTTGCTTAAGAAAAGGGCTTATCTCAGCAAATTGATTGTCTTCTATAAAAGGGATGGTTTAGTCTGAGTAGAACTATTTCTTCAGTGCATGGCTCTTGAAACTATCTGTTTTCTACATTGAGTTACCATTGAACATTTCAGCTGCAAGTAATAATGGGAGTGACCTACAGCGTTGGAGAGTAAGTAATGCAGTTTTTATTGTCTTTAGTTTGATGACAATTTTCATGTTTTCGAAGTGCAGTGAGGCTTTTAAGATGCCTTTGTTTTTGTTTGACAAATGCAAATGACTCGGTGTTTTGTCTCATGTGAGTAAACATGTTGTTTATAATCACCTGTGGTGCTATTTGAATCTCAGAAAGGCATGGATATAGGAGGTAATGTTATATAAACTTGATATTTAACTTTCCAGGCAAAACAATTGTTTTTCATATAAAAATTTTCAATAGAAGAACTTTTCATGAACAGCTACAGATAAAATGATTCAAATGTATGAGTATCTGTTCAGATCTGTTCTGTATTTTTTGCAACAGACAAATGCATTTTGTTAACTTTTCCTATTGAGGCTTTCACAGTCAGCAAGCATTACTTAAAACTGTCTCAGCATGGCTAAAAAAAAAAAGCTGTTCTGATCAGGAAATTCCAGAGAACAATAACTTCAACCAGAGCCAATTCAAAGCACAGGAAGCATTGTTAACACATTTCTTGCCTCCATAGAGCTGTAAGTTGACACTTGCTGCACTTGTCAATGTGCTATTCGTCAAGAGTAAAATCTTGCATGTTAATGAATGTTGTGTCTTATTAATATTTGAAAAATAGAATAGAATAAGCAATGAAGTACGACACATATCAAGCAGAGTTTGGTTTAACTGCATAAACATATTTTTTTGCTACTGATACCTTGAAATAATCAGTAAAAGTGTAATTTTTTATTTAATTAAAGTTCAGCTTTCTTTCTTTCTTTCTTTCTTTCTTTCTTTCTTTCTTTCTTTCTTAAGGTTGTTCTTCACACTTTCTGACATCAGCACTTTAATTTTTGTTTTTAGTGAGTTATGCATTTTATTCTGTCCCCTTTACTTTGAAACCTTGAAATAAAATCCCATCTGGTAATTTTTTTAAGATGTCATTACTAAGCAGGTCTAACTTTCACCTTTCAGCAGGACATAACAGAAAACAGTCAGAACTACAGTATAAGGAGAAAATTTATGTTCTGAGATGTTTATTGCTTAAGTAGTAGGTGATGCTATGAGCTAGATAGCAAAGAGGAAGCAGGAAACAATGTCAGCCTGTAGATTTATGAAGTGGATGCTGACAAAGACCAAATACTTTGGCTGATGTAGTTACAGTAACAAGTGTTTACAAAAAATTATGTCTTAGGCAGCAGAATATGAAGACTGGTAAATAAAAATTTACATTTATTTTATGAAAAAGAAATTGAAAATCATACCTATCTGTCCTTTCACTGTGATTCCATGCTGCTTTCTTTTAGAATAACACATTATGTCCAGATAAAATGCTTTTAATAAACATTGCCTAAGATTTTTTATTAATATTTTTTAAAGCATTCAACTATTCATTTGAGGCACAGTAAGCCTCTCAAATAAGCACCATTCATTGCAGCTGCAGAGGTAGAAATGTGCTTCGTCTTTCTTTCATGATTAAATTTAATTGTTCTTCGCTCACAGGCTCAACCATCTCTACACCTTCTTTGTGCAATGGTCCCCAGAAATCTACACAACAGGCAGCAAGAAGGCCTGCAAGTCTTGCAAGTTCAGAAAAGACCAGCAAGAGAGTGATAACCCTGCAGTGGACAAAGTCTTTGGCGTAATCAACAAGCTCTTCAGAGACCGATTTGAAAAGTTAAAAACTGCAAAAGTCTGGAAGGTACGCCTCAATACAGAGCTGTCATGACTGGATATTTAACAAGGTGGAGTTTTTGAAGTATCCTGAAGTGTTTCATGTGTTTCCTGAGAGAACAGCTCTCCTCCCTCTTACTGTAACAAGATGACGCAGGGAATCTGGCAGTTGTCCCTGGGAGTGTGGAAAATTCCCCGTTTCCCTATATAGACTTCCTGTGTATCCGTTGTTTCTGCATACCAGAAACAGACTAGGATTTCCCACAAATCGTGCCGCAAAGAAATAGTAATTACCGGTAGAATAAAAAAAAACAGTGAGTTTGACTTTCCAACTAATGAAAGTTAGAATATCACTGTGTTTATGAGTGTGAACATTTGCATTCAGATAGCAGACATGTGGAGCAGCAGAGTACAGACTAGGACAGAGGAATGAGGGGCTACATGGAAAAGACAGTAACCTACCAGGGTGCTTCATTTTGTCAGTGACTGTGTGGAGTCATATGTTGGGGGATTACTTCGGTTGCCCAGTGACACATGAACCTCAGTGAGACCAAAACTTTATTTGAAATCCAACAAACTAAAGAAACTCTGAAAGTTACTAGACTGACTGTGAAGTTTTCTGAAGGCAATATTAGGATATACAGAAACAGGCATATAGAAAGCAAAAAGTTGCTTTTGGCATTAGTTTTGTTATCAAATTTTTTATCACTTTTGGCATTAGTTTTGTTATCAAATATTTGTGTTCTTCTGCTCTGCTGCAGATCATCGAAGTGAAGGAGACAAAACGGCGCCTGAGTCTGTGGAGCTCAGTGGTGTCTGAGAGTGAGTACCAGGAACCTGAGGAAACGCTTCCCGTCCTGAAACACGACAGCCAGCTGCTAAATGACTATCACTTACAGAAGGTGAGATATTAGCAGAGACCCAGTTTTTTAAGGCTGATCTGACATCAGTCTACCAGATACTTGACGTATGCTGACCATGTTTGGGACTGGATTTTTAAGGTGATATAGTTTTTTATCCTCTATCTACATGTTAAAAATGATAAATCTTATGGCAGTCTCTGTTTAAACAACAAAAATAAACTTTTATTGACAAATCAAACAACACATTAACAATGGATAGCAAGTGGTGGAAGCAGCAATGCATGCACTTCACTTGATCTCATGGCATGGCTGCAGATCATACTAAAAACACATGCATGAAAGAGAAAAGTCCATAATACTGACAGATCAATGTACTGGTCTATTTCCAGTACTCAGTTAATGCTGTTTTGTGAGGTGTCAAAAGATGTCATCTGATCAAAAAACTACTTTTCCAACAGCTTAATGCTCACATGCCACCAAAGACCCAGGGTTACCCATGGCATCTGGTGTACAGCACCGCCATCCATGGAACAAGCCTGAGGACTCTCTACAGGAACATGGCTGACCTGGACAGCCCTGTGCTGCTGGTCATTAAAGACATGAACAAAAAGGTTGGCATTTTGTTTCTGTAATCGAAATCTAATTCTTAAACCAAATACTATTCTAAAAAATAGAGAAACTACAACCCTGACTGTTACCATTTTACTTTCAGGTGTTTGGGGCTTTTTGTTCTGATCCATTAAAAGTCAGTAAATATTTCTACGGCACTGGCGAGACCTTCTTGTTTAGCTTCAACCCTGATTTCCAGGTAAGGGAAGATTTTATAACAGAGGCGTTTGAATCCTTGAATATACTGCAATAAGTTAACATTTTAAACAGACCTACAGAAGAGCCTAAGAGAAACTCTGAACATGAACCTAATTCTTACAAACTGGAGAGACAAAAACAAATGCATGGGATGTTTTTAATTGCCTTGGATTTTAAATTTATTAAGTTGAATTCATGATAAAAAACATACAATCTTGTATTATTTCATTTTGGCTTCAGCAATACAGGTGGAGTGGGGAGAACTCCTATTTTGTAAACGGCAACTGGGAATCTCTGCAGATTGGTGGAGGAGGGTAAGCTCAGCTCGTGTTTTGGATTCCAGTCAAACATGCTTAAAACATCTAACTGGAAAACTTTTATTAATGATGTTCCACATATGATTTAATTACTGGTTCTTATGTTTATTTTTATTTTTCGTTTTTAGAGGTGGCTTTGCTTTGTGGCTGGATGCGGACTTGTACCACGGTGCCAGCTTCTCCTGTCCTACCTTCCACAACGCTCCTCTTTCCACGCAGGAGGACTTTACTGTTCTCGACGTTGAAGTCTGGACTGTGCAGTGCTGAAGTGCAACATCAATTAAACAAGGATTCCTCTCTGAGTTTCTGATACTTCAAAACCAAAATGGACCGCTATAGCCACACAGAGCATCAGCTCACACAGATCATCCCACGTATAAAGCCTAGGAGACTGGTTCTGCAGGAATGCTTTCTGGTTGGTTGATAAGTGATTGTTGGAGGCAGGCAGGAACAGGAACAGTTCAGTGGGAAGCTGGTAAAGGAACGTTGGAAGCATTATGTTGGCACTGCTTTAATTTGATTGTTTCAAGCATCACAAAAAAGTCTTAAAAGACCACATTCCAGACTTTTAAGTTTTTTTTTTTTTTTCTGGTAAACTGGAATAATACAACTGCAAGTGAGATTACAATATGTTTACAGGGGGGAAATGTTGCATATATTTCCCTATGTTCCAAAGTAAGATCATTTTATTTTATTGTAGAGACACTGAAATGAGGTAGAACTTATATATGTGTATGAGAGGAAATGAGAGGGATAAAGAATCAAATGAATGTGGGATTTTTATGACGCAAATCTTTGATGTTGATAGTCGTATCGACTATATTTTTCTGAATTTGTTGTCTTCTTTTTTTATATTTTATTAGGTAAATAAGTACTTGTGTAGTTTAATGTTTTAAAAAAAAAATTTGGATATTATTATTCATATTATTAGTATTTATTTTATTTTTTTACAAAATCAATCTAAGTAAACTATTTACAATTACAGTTAGTTTAGCTTAATGTTGTATATTTGTTAAGGTGGTGCTGAAATTTCTCACTGTTTTGATTTTCTGAAAAGTATATAAGAAATGTTTTGATGTACTGTTTAAGATTAATTATTTATTCAGATCTATTTCTAATGATACCTCACCAAAAATAAATTCAAGAAAATAAAACTTGCAAAGTGTAATGTGTGTCACTTAAGAATTTAACTGCAAGATTTAAGAGAAAACAAACTAAATTGGACCAAAAGTCACAGAGTAATTTGCTGAAAGTTGTTTCTAAAACTGTTGTTACTAATATACAATGTGATGTATAAAACATCCAGTACTGGTGTGTCAAAGTTAATTTAGATGTTTTGATAAAAAATTAAATAAAAACAAAGATGGAATAAGTTTTTTGGGCATAAAAAATGTACATCTGACATCACCTTTATGGGTGTGAACATTAACAATTTAGTCAGGAAACTTAATTTAAGATGTGACTAAATTATCAAGCAAAAGGCTCTATTTCTTTGTACACAATCCCCCTGCTGGTCAAACAAAGGTTTAGCAGCCATATATCTTAGTTTTCAGTAGTATTTTCGTAATCATGAAGGACATTCCATTTAGGAGTTCACTATTAGATTGTAAATTGTATTTATGCTCTTTTGGAAAATCTAAATAAACGTAAAGTATATATAAAAAAAATCCTTCTTCACAGGGCTATTTGGTTTCTTATATTAAGGATATTGCTTTTTAGTCAAATGTAATAATTATTAATTTCTACAGCTAAATAGCTTCAAAAGGAAATCAATACTGGCTAAACATCCCTAAAAGAAACAAAATGTTGGATATTTTCATATAAGTTTAAACCGCAGGAATCATGAATCAAATTTTCCCACAGAGACTACTTACCTACTTTCTCACCAGTTTAAAACATACCTCTAACCTGTTTGTATGAAAGGATCCATAACATGTAACTATCTGTTCATAAATCACACCCGAATTCAAATATCTCCATGAATCAGAAAAGCTATTAATGTTATCAATGATGTCACATACGAGCCTCGACACGAGCATTATAAAATGATTCCCAGAAGTGACTGTTCCTTTTTCCTGTTTTCACACGTTCTTGGCTGCACTGGCAGAACCAAGCAATGCTCCAGTCTGAGAAAAAATAGGCATAGAGGAAGATTTTGTTTTTATCCTTTCATTTTCCATACCTGCTATTCCAGTTTGGACAGATTGACAGTAATTCACAGACTAGCACAAAGACAAATAACCATGCACACACACACACACTCATACCTAAGGGTCACCCTTTGACCTAACGGTCATGTTTTCAGCTTGTGGGAGAAATCCAGAGTACCGGAAGAGAACCGACACACGTGTGTAGGAGGGCATTTACCTCCAAGCAGAAAGACCCCAAATTTTGGGAATTGAAATCTACAGAGACTGTATCACTTTTGACAAGAGAACGGTGACCATCCTGGTCAGCCAGCATGGGAAAATGTACCTCCACTACGTTGGTCCACACTGCAAAACGTAGTGGAGGTACATTAATGGCCATTTTTTTGTGGTACTGTTACATTTCTTCTGCCTATACCCTTTCTATTGTTTTACGTCATAGTCACATGACTTTCAAGATCCCAGCTGGGAGAAGAAAAAAAAAAAATATATATATATATGGCCGACATTCGCTCATTTTTTTGTGGAAAGATTAATAACTTGAGTTTGTTTTTGCATTAAAATGAGTTTTGATTACATTTCTAGTGAGAAATGTATAGTTTGTTGTCAGAATATTTACTCAGGGAATGTACATATTCACTTGCTTCTTCGTTTCTTGCAAAGATTTTTCAAGATAATGTGAAACTAAGGTTTTGGTATAAACATGGCCGAGATTTCTCTAACTTTTAGTGGGAAAATCAATAATTTCAATCAGTTTCTGCATTTAAATGGGTTTTGATTACCTTTATAGCGAGAAGTGTAGGGTTTATTTACATAATATTTACTTGGTGAACATACATAATCACCCGCTTGCTAGTTTTTGCTACGATTTTTCGGATCTCGTCAGGATTATGTGAAATTGCAACGTTTTGGCTGCTACCCATCGCCTAGCATTTAGCTGCCGCCCCGATTCAACATTGAATTCTTTGTGATTTAACTCCATCTGACGGATCAAACCCTCGCCACTGTGTGCGTTGCGTCTGACCCTGAAATCCCACATACTCCGTCAGTGCTCCGCTCCGCTCCGCCCCGCTGCGCTCCAGACCGCCTGCTCAAAGCAAAGCCTACAGCCGCCGCTGTGGCTCCCATCCGCTCCGCTCTGAGTTCCTTGGAAATCGTAGAGAGCATGCGCGAGATGAACCAGGGTTTCCGCGGATCATTAAAAATAATTACAATTCATTCATTTTTTTTAAATCAAGGCCTTAATTGGCACTAAAATTATTTAGGCTAAATATGTTTATCGAAGTATTTATAATTCTTTAATAAAAAATGCTTATAAAAACAATTGGGCAACTGAAACAACGGAGCGGAGCGCTGACGGAGTATGTGGAATCTGGGGGTGAGGTTGATTTTCAGATCAATGCATTACGTCGTTAACCTGATAACAGCCAGATGCATGTCTCGCTCCGCCTAGCTCCACTCACATACATCTGGGACACAGCCATAGGAATTGCCTGTACTGAAGGCTGGGCCTTATCAAAACTCCTTGCATATGATTGGATAAGCCACTTGTCTGTCATCTTTATCGACGTGCTATTTCAACCACTCACACCGAAGCTATGAGAGCGACGCAGGAAAAAAACAAAACAGAACAGCCGACATCTTGGATATAGCAACAGTGGAATCAGCGCAATGTCGGTAAATGATCAATGTCGTTTGTGCCATGAAAATTTGCGGATAAAAGGCAACATTGTGCACAGCAGACTTCGCTTCTCCACTACGTCACATCCGGGAAACACCCGCCCTGCGTCCTGATTGGCCAGACCATAAATTTGGTTGGGGAAATCACTTTTAATTAGCGGTGTCCCAGATGTATGTGAGTGGAGCTAGGCGGAGCGAGACATGCATCTGGCTGTTGTCAGGTTATTACGTCATGGCATACGGGAGAAACTAATGTTGACAAAATGATCATGGGTTAAGATCGGATGTGTTTTATTTGGAAATCTACCGGATCCTATGTGCATTTAACTTCCTGTTTGGTGCGATCTCATTGATGGGTTTTGACCAGGTTTTGACCAAAGAGGAAATCCTTTCTGCTTGCTTGTTGGAATCATTAACTGCTTTAAAAATATATTATTATTATTCTTACTATGCTTTCCAAATAATTGTTCTTTATTGGATTGTCAGCAAAAATTAAATAGAAAGAAATAAATCTTAATGTTTTGACTTCGGATGCATTTTGAAGCTGCCACGAAGGAGGAGGAGGGAGGAGGAACGAGGAGGAGGAAGAAGGAGGAAGAAGGAGGAGGAAGAAGAAGAAGAGGAAGAAGGAGGAGGAAGAAGAAGAAGAAGAGGAAGAAGGAGGAGGAGGAAGGTTAATCCAATTAGTGTTATTCCTCCATGGCTATTTCCTGAGATAAATGTAGACATGAGACTTATTGAAAAATGATTAGAATTTAAACGAAATATGGATACAGACTGATATATATTTAAGAAACTCATATTATAATTACCTTCAAATATATTCTGATGGTTCTAAGAATTTAAAAGGGTGTGTGGGAATAGGAATATATGTACCAGAGTTCAAAATACACATTTCTAAAAGAATTTCAGATCAACTATCTGTTTTCACAGCAGAGATGGTGGCAGTTATACTGAGTTTCCAATGGGTGGAGGAGGTCAGACCAGACAGGGTGGTGGTATGCACGGATTCCAAAGCAGTTTTAGAAAGTATTCAGGGAGAAGGAAATAATAGGAAAGATTTCGTATTAGACAGTCAGTACAGTTTATTTAGATTATACAGGGGTGGCATTGATATTTGGTTTTGTTGGGTTCCAGCACATGAAGGGGTAAAAGGAAATGAAAAGGCAGACAAATTAGCAAAAAGGGCTTTAGAGGAGGCAATAACAATTACAATTCCTTTAGGGAAAGGGGAAGGAAAATCATTTATTAAGAGGAAAGAAATTAAAAAATGGCAAAAAAAAAGGTGGAATGAAGATAAAAAAGGAAGAAGGTTATATAAAGTACAAAAGTCAGTATTAAATAGAAATATTAATGAGAGAAACCGAAGGGATGAAATAATAATGATCAGATTAAGAGTAGGTCATACTTATTTAAATGACAATTTATACTTAATAGGGAGGAAAAATAATGATAAATGTGAAGGATGTGGAGAGATAGAAAATGTAGAACACGTATTGATGAACTGTAAAACATATGAACCTGAAAGGGAGAAATTGAAAAGAGTTGAAAGGACAGGCCAAGAATGGAGTCTTAAAGGATTATTGGGAAATAAAGGAAATATAAAGGATATTTATAGATTAAGGAAAGCATTATTTATTTATCTTCAGAATACAAAATTAAAAAATAGAATTTAATAGATGTAAAACAATGTTGCTACACACTCATGAACAGTAGGTGGCGGTATGCACGCCCCTTCTCTAGAGCCCGGTGGGAGCGAAAACATTTTGAATGGAAATTAATGGGGAGAAATTAATAAACTTCTGGTCCCAGTCTCTCTCTGTCATTGATTCCAGATATGCTGGTTGTGTATTTAAATTGTTTTGTTTTGTTTTTTATAGTGCAAAAAAAAAAAAATAATAATACCGTGAAGATTTCAGATTATTCCAAGAGTTAAGGCCGCTGTGTGGACTACAGCTATCGTCGCGAGCAACATACGTCACCAGCTGTCCCGGGTACGCTAGAATTTTATTTTCTCCGGCACGTCACCGCATTTTTATTTTATTTTCAAAAACAGGAAAATAGCATGGACAGGATAAGGAAATGTTGAGTCTTTCCATCACGCCGACTGAATGATGGCCAGTCTCGATCTTGCCAGTCGCAGGGAGCAACGTCATCACTCGCAGTGACAGCTGTAGTCCACAAAGCAGCTTCAAGTGAATTTATCAATTTTGTTTGCTATTTCATATTTGTCTTATGTTATATTTTATATATTTGCATATGTGAATTGTTCTTTGGACAAATGTTAACAAAACTTGGGGAAAAAACAAAACAAATAAAGTGGCTTCAAGTAAAACCTGGTTGGAAATAATCAAAGTTCTTTGCAGCATTTTTTTTTCTTTGCATGAAAATTTTTCATTTAAATCCAAGTTCAAAATATCTGGAAACCAGGACAGAGAACGACTGGGACCAGAAGATAATTATTTTCTCCCCTTTGCGTTCCATTCATAATTTTTTCAAATTTTCGTCTCTAAAGTCCCATGGGGCGGAAGTAGATAGCCGTGAGTCAAAGCCTGGTCAAAACCCATCAATGAGATCGCACCAAACAGGAAGTTAAATGCACATAGGATCCGGTAGATTTCCAAATAAAACACATCCGATCTTAACCCATGATCATTTTGTCAACATTAGTTTCTCCCGTATGCCACGACGTAATGCATTGATCTGAAAATCAACCTCAGACGCAACGCACGCAGTGGCGAGGGTTTGATCCGTCAGATGGAGTTAAATCACAAAGAATTCAATGTTGAATCAGGGCGGCAGCTAAATGCTAGGCAATGGGTAGCAGCCAAAACGTTACAATTTCACATAATCCTGACGAGATCCGAAAAATCGTAGCAAAATATTACATTCCCTGAGTAAATATTCTGGCAACAAACTATACATTTCTCACTACAAATGTAATCAAAACTCATTTTAATGCAAAAACAAACTCAAGTTATTAATCTTTCCACAAAAAAATGAGCGAATGTCGGCCATATATATATATATATATTTTTTTTTTCTTCTCCCAGCTGGAATCTTGAAAGTCACGTGACTAGGACGTAAAACTATAGAAAGGGTATAGGCAGAAGAAATGTAACAGTACCACAAAAAAATGGCCATTAATGTACCTCCACTACGTTTTGCAGTGTGGACCAACGTAGTGGAGGTACATTTTCCCATGAGACTGGGTGCCAGCCAGTCTATAACAGCAGAACTCACAGAACTAACATCTGTGCACTCTTACTGAAGGGAGATTTTTGGTAACTCAATTTACCAATGTTTTTGGAAAGCTTAAGAACCCAGAGGGTGTCAAATTATGCATAGAGTTTACATCTGCACTACTATTGTTGTGGACTGTCATGTAAAAATTTTGTAAATCACAAGTTCCTTTTAGATTTCTGTTCAACTTAACTTTGTAGAGAGAATATATTTAATTTAGTTTAAAACCAAGATCTATCATTTTCATTTTGGGTTGTTCTGATTACTTTTGACCCTCCCATTAATTTAGAAGGTTAGAAACACAAGGCAGGGAACATGGTAAAAAGATTTTGATTTTTTTTTTTTTACATTTTTGATTTAACTTTCGTTTTTATTTAAGCTGTAAAATTCTGTGATTTTTATTTTTTATTTTTATTTTTTATTTTTTTTTTGCTGGAAATGAACAACACATATTTTTTCCAAGTCAGAGGTGCATATAAGAAACACCACCTGCCACCAACGACCTTCAGGAAAATGTTGGTTTTGGAACATGGAAGGCTGCTAAATTTAAGTACCATGCTTTAAATCAGCATTGAAGCAGGTACGGAGCCCCTCTGATGACATGGTCAAAAAAAATGTTTAATTGTGGCCACGAAGTAGTATTTCGCGGCCACGCAATAAGTATAATGTGCGCACGAAATACTACTTCGTGGCCACGCAATAAGTTTAACGTGCGCACGAAATACTTATTAATAATATCAATAAATCCGCCCCTGTTTTCAGGCTTATGTTAACTGTAATGACTTATCTTGGACAGGCTGCTATGTAAACGGGCCTTTAGTCCTTCGTTTAGCTATGCTGCGGTTGTTTACACTACGCCTTTTCCACCTAAAATAGCGTCTTAGCAACAAATGTCAAGTGACTGGCGGAGACCGACTGGGTAAGCAAATCGAGCGCGCCTTAGACCTTAGAGAAGGCGCGCTCGATTTGCTTACCCAGTTGTCCAGGAATGATATTAATAGTATTAATAAGTATTTCGTGCGCACGTTAAACTTATTGCGTGGCCACGAAATAGTATTTCGTGCGCACGATAAACTTATTGCGTGGCCACGAAATACTACTTCGTGCGCACGAAATACTACTTCGTGGCCACAATTAAAAATTTTTTTTGACCATGTCATCAGAGGGGCTCCGTAAAGCAGAACCTTTTGCCATAATATTTTGTTAAAAACAATTCTATGATGAAATTTGTTCCCAAACTGAACCCTCCACTTCCACAGAGGGAAACATTTTCCACTATCATGACAGTCAACCCTGAAAGTTTCAGACTAAGATCTACTACTTAAAAAAAAAAAAAAAAAAAAAATTTTCAAGGCTGCACTTTAAAAAAAAGTTTTTGTTTTACACTTGTGTGAACAAAACGACAAATGAATCAGTCTAACTCTAATATTAATAGGAATAGCCCATTCTTATAATTAAGAATAACATTTTCAAAACATGTTTACACTTGGCTGCTGGGATATTAAGTTTTTTGTTTTGTTTTTTAACTTGTTTAACTTGGAAATATATTTTCCACTGAAAAAATGAAGACAATAAAGAAAATATAAATGGGGACAAAACTATTTTAAAAAGATTATGTTTACAAATGACTCATTTTGGATCGTATTGGCTTTATAATTAATTGGTTATTCAGAAAAAATATTTGTAAATATGATGGGGCTAGTAGTAAACTTTGTTTGGGTTCCAGCAGGAGAGAACAAATAAGTTAAGGATAGATATTAATGTTAGTGTTAGTATAACAAAAATAAAGGGTTTAATTAAACAAAAAATAAAAGAGAGAAGACAAAAGGAAGGTGGTTCTATAAAATCCAAAAGAGAATTGGACAAATGAGAAGAACAGAAAGGAACAGGAGAGAAGAGATAATTATTTCATGACTCAGAATAGGACACACAGGATTGAATAGTTCATTATTTTTAATAGGGAAACATCAGACAGGGAAATGTGACTGTGGGGAAGATGAGGCGGTGGAACATGTTATTTGGAGTTGTAGAAAATATTTGATTCAGAGAAACAAGTTAATTAGGAAACTTGAAAATGAAACTTGACATTTTTGATTTACTGCAAAAGATAATCAGGAAGCAGAGAATATCAGGTTATATTTGAGTTTTTGAAACAGATTAAATTTTTTAAAAGGATATCGTTTTTTTGTGTGTTTTTTTTTTTTTTTTGCCATGTGGTCCACACTCCTTACCAGTTGGTGGCGGTAATTTTCACCTAACGTTTTTGCCAACCGCCATAAAACTTTCAAGAAGAAGTAGAAGAAGAAGCGGGGGGGAAAAATTAAGCTCGATGCGCCTGGGATCGACTTTTCTGGTCTGAATATCGACTCTTCTTAGTTCCAATAATGGCGGAGGATCAGCCCCCACAGCCTGTTAAAACTGATACAACCAACAGTACACCGGCAGAGGGATATGATAAGAAATGCATTTTCTGTAGGATTGTAAATAATGAAATGGGAACGGAGCTTCTCCACAATGTGAGCATTTTATGCTTTATGTCGTATTTTGGAAAGTTAGCTAGCTAGCTTTAGCTTGTTTTTTCTAACAGAAGTTCATAGCAGCAAATTTAGCTACTTTAGATTCTGAATGAACATATTTCCCTGTTTTTTATTCTAAATTGCTGACATGTAACGTTGAGCTGAGCTTTAGTGGTGTATAATCATTGTATTTGTATGTTTATGGTGTGATTAATGAATGTCCTATACCTCCCTCTGGTGTAGAGCCATTTCATAGGTTTGATGTCAAAGATCCGCGCCTTTTCACATTTTAATTGTAGACTGTTTATCCTCAGGATCTTACCGTTTATTTGAGGAATATATGTCTGTAAAGGGGTTGGCTTTAATTACAGATAGATAGATGGATCACTGAAGGTACAAAGTCCCTCTTGGTTTAGGTCATTGATTTGAATGCAGAGGCTGCTGATAAACTACATAGTGATCATTGGTGCACTTTGTGAAATAATTGTGTTGCAGGATGGAGATCTTTCCTGTTTCAGGGATATTAAACCTGGAGCTCCACATCATTACTTAGTTGTCCCAAATAAACATGTTGGAAACTGCAAATCTCTCAACAAGGAGCATGTGCCTTTAGGTGAGGTGTTTTATTTTGTTGTTTGGTTTTATTTTCTCTCTATATGTGGTGAATCATATAGTCTTCCTTGTTTAATGGAGCATTATGACTCCCAAGATGTGATCACTGTTAGGCAGGTTGATCAGGTTAAAGGAACATTACAAGTAAAACATTAAAATCAGAAATCAAATAAAAATAAACAAATTTTGTTGTTATTTTTAGTGAAGCAAATGGTTGATGTCGGGAAGGATGTACTCCAAAAAAACAGCGTAACAGATCTCACTGATGTCAGGTTAGCAACATTCAGCATTGTACAGAAGTGCAGTAAGTGTTGATATGACGTGTAGCTGATGTCCTGTATGTTTCCTTCGTCTGTAGGTTTGGTTTTCATTGGCCCCCGTTCTGTTCTGTTACACACTTACACCTTCATGTCCTGGCACCAGTCAGCCAAATGGGCTTCATGTCCCGCCTCATCTATAGACTTAACTCCTACTGGTTTGTCACGGTAAGTTCTAGAGTCCCTGACATTTTAAGTTTGAGTTAAGGATACAATAAAATCCTCTCAGTCATCAGAAACGAGAGCTGTAAGCATTTCTCATTTTGTCTGTGACTGTTGGTCACACTGTGGTGTTACATACAGTAACAGTTTCCTAAACCCAGCAGCTGTTTGAGCCAACCATCATATTTACTACAGTGTAAAAGACATTGTTAATAGAACACTGGTTTGACTGATGGGATTTACCCAAAGAGGAAAAGATAACAATTTACCCTGTTTAGTTGAGTCAAATTTCTCAAATCTAAATCCAATAACTATAAAACACCTAGTAAGTTAATTCTACTCATTTCAATTGTACAACCTTAAAAACTGTTTATTAGGGAAAAACCTCAGGTTTGGATTGAACCCATGATCTCAATCTTGCCACTGCAGAGTTACAAACTGCACCGTCACCCAGTTTGCTGGCTTGACTTTTAAACAGTTTCTCAAATAGTGCTGCACGATTACTCTTAATCAAAATTACTGACTGATGATTTATAGGGCTGTGTTTGGAATAAATACAGTTCTAAAGTGTTTTAATTGATTCTCAAAGATCGATTCCTATAATTATACATTGCACATTGTATGCTTTATGTTGCATTTTGGACTGACTGTTGGCTAGCTTTAGCTTGTTTTTTGCTAACATAAGTTCATAGCAGCAAATTTAGCTACTTTAGATTTTGACTGAACATACACTATATTGCCAAAAGTATTTGCTCACCCATCCAAATTATTGGAATCAGGTGTTCCAATCACTTCCATGGCCACAGGTGTATAAATTCAAGCACCTAGGCATGCAGACTGTTTTTACAAACATTTGTGAAAGAATGGGTCGCTCTCAGGAGCTCAGTGAATTCCAGCGTGGAACTGTGATAGGATGCCACCTGTGCAACAAATCCAGTCGTGAAATTTCCTCGCTCCTAAATATTCCACAGTCAACTGTCAGCTGTATTATAAGAAAATGGAAGTGTTTGGGAACGACAGCAACTCAGCCACGAAGTGGTAGGCCACGTAAACTGACGGAGCGGGGTCAGCGGATGCTGACGCGCATAGTGCGAAGAGGTCGCCAACTTTCTGCAGAGTCAATCACTACAGACCTCCAAACTTCATGTGGCCTTCAGATTAGCTCAAGAACAGTGCGCAGAGAGCTTCATGGAATGGGTTTCCATGGTCGAGCAGCTGCATCCAAGCCATACATCACCAAGTGCAATGCAAAGCGTCGGATGCGGTGGTGTAAAGCACGCCGCCACTGGACTCTAGAGCAGTGGAGACGCGTTCTCTGGAGTGACGAATCGCGCTTCTCCATCTGGCAATCTGATGGACGGGTCTGGGTTTGGCGGTTGCCAGGAGAACGGTACTTGTCTGACTGCATTGTGCCAAGTGTAAAGTTTGGTGGAGGGGGGATTATGGTGTGGGGTTGTTTTTCAGGGGCTGGGCTTGGCCGCTTAGTTCGAGTGAAAGGAACTCTGAATGCTTCAGCATACCAAGACATTTTGGACAATTCCATGCTCCCAACTTTGTGGGAACAGTTTGGAGCTGGCCCCTTCCTCTTCCAACATGACTGTGCACCAGTGCACAAAGCAAGGTCCATAAAGACATGGATGACAGAGTCTGGTGTGGATGAACTTGACTGGCCTGCACAGAGTCCTGACCTCAACCCGATAGAACACCTTTGGGATGAATTAGAGCGGAGACTGAGAGCCAGGCCTTCTCGTCCAACATCAGTGTGCGACCTCACAAATGCGCTTCTGGAAGAATGGTCAAAAATTCCCATAAACACACTCCTAAACCTTGTGGACAGCCTTCCCAGAAGAGTTGAAGCTGTTCTAGCTGCAAAGGGTGGACCGACGTCATATTGAACCCTATGGATTAGGAACGGGATGTCACTTAAGCTCATATGTGAGTCAAGGCAGGTGAGCAAATACTTTTGGCAATATAGTGTATTTCATAACTTTGTATAAAGTGCACATTTAAAAACATTGCTTATTTTTACTGCTCTCATAGCTGCTATTAACTTTTATTACTTCATTCATTTGCTATTGAATGTTAATGTTATACTTGTATGAGTAGCCTGATAATGCAGTCATGTAATTCAGGAAAGAGCCAAAATATCTATTTTTAATACCAGTAATCCCATTTTTGATCGAACTGCGTCGAATATGATTAGGGGTGAAAAATGAAATAGATTCTCAAGATTTTGAAACCTGAGAATCACAATGGTTTATGTGCAGTTTTTTTTTTTTTTTTTTCAACATCACACTGTTTATTTTATTGTTTTCTGTTGCTTTGAATGTTCAGCAGAGCTTTTACTTCCTGACACATGCGCACATTGCAATAGCTAAAATCTTTAGGTACATTTTATGAGATATTTTATGTTAAAGTAGCTACTTTTAACAAGAAAGTACAATTATAATTTATAATCTAGATTATTTTCTGCTTAATTTGTGATAAAAAAAAAAATCATGTTTTTACCATCCTACAAAACTAGTGTAAGAATACAGGTTTATTACTGCAATTAGCAAACTATTTGTTAGCACAGAGGCAGAGATTGTGCTGAACATCTAACATCTGTTGACATTTTCTAATGTTTTTACAGGCAGATCAGCTGATTGAGCTTCTCAACACTAAAGCAGAGACGAACTGAAGCACCAGGATCTGTTTTTGTCTTCTCATTGGATTTTTTTTAATAAAGTAACTTCAATCAACCTTCCTGGAGCTGACATGTTGGGTGACAGAGGAGTTAAAATGTTTTCTGCTTTGGCCAAACTTAAAGGGAATGTTTTATTTTAGATGCCTCTACTACATCATAAAGACACTCAGGGTAACAAAGGAAGGCAAATATTTCTCGGTTTCTTCAGAAGCTGCTAAAAAGTTTTCCCTGGAAACAACATGGTATTAAAACTCTTTGGTAATCTGCCATCTCAGACAAAGATAAAACTTTGTTTATCGACCAAAGAGTATAAAAGAGATTTTTTTTATTCCTTATTTTAGAGTTGATTTAATGTTCACTGCATAACAGCTGATTTTCATCAACAGAATTTCACTTCTAAAATTTGAAGCTGAAATCAGTCAATTTTCTGTCATGTTAGAAGACTTTTATTGTGAAGCTCAGGTTTGTGAACAAAACTAAATTACAACTTTATAAAGCATTAACCTAAGACAAGTATTCGACGCGTTGTCAATGTATAATCATAATATTACTTTAAACATTCAATATAAAATGCACTGGTATGGATTTAAGGTTCATGTGATATTTTAGTGATTGCAATTTGTAAATGCCAATGATTATTTAAAAATAAGCTTATAGGCCATGTGCGATTATTGAACTTGGGCTTTTTAAAACCTGCTTTACGTCAAACTCAACTACTTTGACATAATTGCAATCAGAATTCAAACTAAGAAAATAGAGAAAATACAGACAATTAAGTTGTGAAGCTTTTAACTTTACAGCACATGTTCACCTTTCATCAGAATATAGAGCATTGTCATTCATAACTGCTACATATGAGAGTATTAACATTACAGCATGTTTTGTACAATACATATGCACTTTATTAATTACCAATAAACAATGTTGCCCCTAATGGCCGGTGTAATATTTTCTAAATCTCTGGTGGGGTTTGTGACTGGAATGATTTCACTGTACATCTAACTGTGGTTCAGATACATGAAAAAAGCGTTACCACCATGACAGCGTAACTACAGGGCAGCTGTGTAATAAATACATAGCGTGAGACATCCAGCCAAGTCGGATCAGGTTCATCCTATAGCACCATATTATCTGTCACAGGCAGGCTTTGTGTTCTCTTTGGCGTCGGTTCACTCCCCTCTAACACTCTGACTTTAACTGCTCATTCATCTACTTTCAATGCATAACAAAAGAGCAGTGGAGTTTTAAGGAAGCAGAGGATTTTCTTTTCCTCATCTAATCACTTAACACAGCAAGCAAAATCAACTGATTAAATTATTTAACAAATAAGTCGTCCTTGATAACCAAAGGATGAAGACATGCACTCATGAAAAAAAAATTAAATAACAGTGCATCCATGCTTCTCTTAGAAAGGGGATAGTTGTTCATGGAAAACATTGTGTTAAACCTATCACCCATCATGGTAAGTTGCATCTGAAGAATGTTGAATTGGCAATGAATACTTTTTTACACCATCTTTAGTCAGAAATAATATATTTCAGCTAGAGCTTAGCTTAGTGTGTCTAACAGGGGAATTACCCCCAAAGACAGCAATGAATATACGGGGACAGCTAAAATAAAAATAAATTAAGACCTTCTGGTGGCCTAGTCAAAGTACAGTTCAACCTAGACTCAATTGTTGTGTTGGGACCAGTAGAGCTACAAAAAATTGTAATAAAGTTTGGGTCGAAATCCCAGCTGAACAATGTGAGCAGCTGATAAATGTATCCAGAAAACAGATGTTTCAGTTATTAATGCTGACAGGTATTTCCCCCCTAATTATAGTATTTTCTTTCATAATTATCAAATGATATCCTTTAATAGAAGCATTCTTTGGGTATGAAAATATATTGGTTTTCTTTCTATGGGTTGTTTTTTCTGAGGGTTAAATACAGGTAAAAGCCAGTAAATTAGAATATTTTGAAAAACTTGATTTATTTCAGTAATTGCATTCAAAAGATGTAACTTGTACATTATATTTATTCATTGCACACAGACTGATGCATTCAAATGTTTATTTCCTTTAATTTTGAAGATTTGAAGTGGCAACAAATGAAAATCCAAAATTCCGTGTGTCACAAAATTAGAATATTACTTAAGGCTAGTACAAAAAAGGGATTTTTAGAAATGTTGGCCAACTGAAAAGTATGAAAATGAAAAATATGAGCATGTACAATACTCAATACTTGGTTGGAGCTCCTTTTGCCTCAATTACTGCATTAATGCGGCGTGGCATGGAGTCGATGAGTTCCTGGCACTGCTCAGGTGTTATGAGAGCCCAGGTTGCTCTGATAGTGGCCTTCAACTCTTCTGCGTTTTTGGGTCTGGCATTCTGCATCTTCCTTTTCACAATACCCCACAGATTTTCTATGGGGCTAAGGTCAGGGGAGTTGGCTGGCCAATTTAGAACAGAAATACCATGGTCCGTAAACCAGGCACGGGTACATTTTGCGCTGTGTGCAGGCGCCAAGTCCTGTTGGAACCTGAAATCTCCATCTCCATAGAGCAGGTCAGCACCAGGAAGCATGAAGTGCTCTAAAACTTGCTGGTAGAAGGCTGCGTTGACCCTGGATCTCAGGAAACAGAGTGGACCGACACCAGCAGATGACATGGCACCCCAAACCATCACTGATGGTGGAAACTTAACACTAGACTTCAGGCAACGTGGATCCTGTGCCTCTCCTGTCTTCCTCCAGACTCTGGGACCTCGATTTCCAAAGGAAATGCATAATTTGCTTTCGTCAGAAAACATGACTTTGGACCACTCAGCAGCAGTCCAGCTCTTTTTTTCCTTAGCCCAGTTGAGACGCTTTTCGCGCTGTTTCTTGGTCAACAGTGGCTTTACACGAGGTATGCGGCAGTTGAAACCCATGTCTTTCAAGCGTCTCTTGGTGGTGGATCTTGAAGCACTGACTCCAGCAGCTGTCCACTCCTTGTGAATCTCCCCCACATTTTTTTTTCACAATCTTGACTAGGGCGCGGTGATCCCTATTGCTTGTACACTTTTTCTGACCACAGTTTTTCCTTCCCTTTGCCTCTCTATTAATGTGTTTGGACACAGATCTCTGAGAGCAGCCAGCCTCTTCAGCAATAACCTTTTGTGTCTCCCTCCTTGTGCAATGTGTCAATGGTTGCCTTTTGGACAGCTGTCAAATCTGAAGTCTTCCCCATGTTTGTGTAGGCTTCAGAACTGGACTGAGAGACCATTTAAAGCCCTTTGCAGGTGTTTTGAGTTAATCAGCTGATTAGTTTGTGGCACCAGGTGTCTTCAAAATTTAACCCTTACACAATATTCTAATTTTGTGACACACAGAATTTTGGATTTTCATTTGTTGCCACTTCAAATCATCAAAATTAAATGAAATAAACATTTTAATGCATCAGTCTGTGTGAAATGAATAAATATAATGTACAAGTTACACCTTTTGAATGCAATTACTGAAATAAATCAAGTTTTTCAAAATATTCTAATTTACTGGCTTTTACCTCTAATTTAAGTCATTGTGGCCACCTCCAGTCTCTCCACAGTGTGTAGTTGTAGCGTTCATATGTACAACATGAATCAAGAGATAGAAACAAACCCGAACATTTGCTTATTCCAGCAAAGTGATAACTACATGATCATCCTTCCCTTGCCACAGCATCTCCCCCTTGAAGTCCACCAGTCCCTGTTTTCTGGCTCGTAAAAGAATTCCCACTAGGGTATTGGAAATGGTCACATAATGTTCAAAAAGTTTCCCAAATTCAACCATGATCATTTTTCTCTGGCCGCCGTCTCCATCCTCCTCTTTTAGTTCCCCTATGTTCCTTATCACCTCACACAGCTTCTGGACCTCTCTGCCGATGTGTGTGTGAGCCTCCTTCCCACGTTTCTCAGTCAGAGAGCCCTTCTGGGGTCTCCCGTAGTCATCCTGTCCCCTTTGAGGGGCCACTACACTTGGTCTGGTATCGTGACTGAAGGGATTGAGCTTCTGGTTCTCCTGGTGCTCATTGGACCACCTCTGCCAGTTTTCTTTCAAACCTTTTACAGAAACAATGGGCATCGCACTGTCCTCGCCACACTGAGCGTTGACATCCGCCTCGTTGCTCCTCTGGCTGTTGGTCCCCATTTCTCACTCCAGTTATTTCTGAACACAAAAAAGAAGGATGAGGATTAATTAGGATTAAAATGATCAACTTTCAACAACAGCGGAGCTATTATTTTTGTCCTGATCTTATCTACACATAAAATCTGTGAACATCGCTGACAAGGTGTGGAAATGGTTGTCTAGGAGGATTGGATCAAAATGCCAGCAAAATATTAAGAGAATTTTTGATAAAAGGAAACCCTAAAGAATTGCCCTACCCGGTACGAAGGCAAATATGCTGCCAATTACAAGTAAATTGATTGATTGACTTTATTGATCTCACAGGGGAGAAATGTGCTCGTTTTATTGGCTCAATAGTCAAAAAGAAGGTGTCAAAGGGAAGAAAACGTCCTTATATATATAACAGCTGAAGTCTCTTATTTAACATTATTACTCAAAGTTATTGCACAGGGTTTTAAATGGGTATTTACATAAATAGGTATTTTTATAGGGGCTACTCAGGGGCTACTACCTTGCAGCAAGAAGGTTCTGGGTTCAATTCCCAGCCCGGGGTCTTTCTGCATGGAGTGAAGTTGGAGTGCATGTTTGCATGTTCTCCCTGAGCATGAATGGGTTCTCTCTGGGTACTCTGGCCGCCTCACACAATCCAAAAACATGACTGTTAGGTTAATTGGCTTCTCTAAATATATATATATATATATATATATATATATATATAGTTATTACAATGTGTATTAAACATAAAAACTGGTTATTGCACAGGGTATTAAAAATAGTCATTGCACATTAGTTATTGCACAAGTCATTGCAATAATAGTGCCGCATTGTAAAGTCTGATGGCAGCAGGGATGAATGACCTTCGGTAGCGCTCCTTTTTACAGAAAGGGTGTAAAAGTCTTTCACTAAAGGAGCAGCTCCGCTCCTCTACAGTCTGGTTCAGATGTTTTCCATGATGGATGTAAGCTTTGACAGCACCCTCCTAAGCATGTAAAGAATGTATGGAAACTTAAAATCTAATGTTCAGTTTTGGTCATCTGAGCTGAACTTGGAACTGTAAGAGTTTAATCTGATTAAATGTCAAACACTGAGGAGAAAAAAAACGATTATGTGTCTTTAAAACACCTTTTAGTGGAAAAAAAGTATGCTGATTATAGCAAGAAAGTGCAATCTGACCAAAGAATTTAATTGACAATAAAATCTGATCCTGCAAGGAAAACAAAAAAAATATATAAAAAGTACATTATATTACAAACAAGCTGGAAAAAAAACATTATTAGTCTTTACTTTTACTCATCTTTATTTTCAATTTCTCAAAAGTTCAGAGTTTATAAATCAAATCGCATATGACAGATTAAATCTCACCTGACTGGTTCTATCTTTCCATATCTGGCCAAACCTCAGGACTTCCCGGTTGTCCACCTGATGCAGTTTATTAACGCAACAGTTTTGCTGACAGTCGCTTTCAGATCCAGATGAAAGCCCATTTGATTGACATCCGTATCCATCAATGGGGTGGAGGACGTGTCCCCTCAGCCAATCAGACAGCGCTCTGAAAAGGCGTCTTATCTGCCGTCTTCATGAAATAAAGGAGATTAAACACTGAAGAAGAAACTGTTTTTTCTGTCCTATTCAGGCCAGCAAAAGTTTCTTATAATTTATAATATACTTATTTAATGAATGAATGAAACCCTGACATAGATCGATATAGTCTGTGTTTTTAATGTGAGATGTATTACTAATAAAGCTAAAAATGATTGCATCGGTTAAGATGTAAAACTAAACCGGTAACATGGTTCATATTAGACAGCGTATCATGGAGAACGGAGGTCGCATAATTCTGCCATTTAAGGCTATGGCTGCGTCTCAATTCGCAGGCTGTCAACAAGCGGAACCATATATTGATAGTCCAGTTATCCCCGGACTTGTTTTGAAAGCGTACCCGTCATGGCCGCGTCCAACAGATCATGCCTTCAGTATCTATTCCATCTTGCTCACGATAATCTAGAATTTAGATTGCCGGTAACGCTTTTTCCCCCACATATAAATGTCTGTTTATCTTCTGCATTTAATTTTACGACTTAAATCAATGTGATTTAATTCACTCTTGTTGTAAAAGGTTAGCTAAATGCTAATGTGAACATTCCGCTTCACCTTTTAAATAAATCGGAATGTGGGAACTGTAGATGATAACACTTCAGTTGTTTGTTTTTTTCCCCCTTACCTGCATACTTGGACTTAATCGATTCATGCTTGTTCATAAACTTCCTTTCCATGCGGTCAGAATTACTCTGTAACATCTTGGAAACGTTTTGTTGAATCTGTTGATATGAATTTAATTGATAATTTTACTAGTTTCTTCGTCAAGTTCCATTGAAGGTAAAGCACAACGTTAACAATGTATAATTTATATCAGCTTCAAGGGAAGACTTGAAAAGTTTCCTGAGGGTTTATTTATACCTGTACTGCCTAAACTTCAGTGAACCTACAAGTAACATTACATTAGTTTAACTTCACAGTACCACATTTGGGGTCCCTTTAGAGGTTTTTCCTCAGTATTAATTCATATGTTAAGTTTTAACACTCAGGGGAAACACCCTGAAGGATTCATGAAAGTAACAACAGCACTTACTACTACTCAAAGCCTGCTGCACCCTAAATGCACCAGTGAGCGTTATCACAGATCCTTCCTCTCAGCAGCTGGAAGACTTTATATCTACCACTGTTTTTTCACAGTTTCTGTCTTAGGCAGTTAAATAACATGCTGCTGTCATTTTGCACATCTAATGTTGCTGCCATTTTTTACATATCCATTACTGTAAAAATGTCCAAATCTGTTTGATTATTTACTCTCCAGATACAGAGCATTTATATTGTATAAACACTGTACAGTACAGTACTTATTTGTTATTTTCCTTACTCTGCTACCTATTCTGTTATTTTTATACACTTTCTAAGGTCCTCGTTGTGTTACCACTTCTGCTGTAACATTTTGGTGCTGTATCAACACAATTTCCTCATTGTTTGACAATAAAGGGATTTTCTGTTCTATTCCAAAGAAAACAACCTGGGGGTAGAATTTGTTCAAAGAAGGGCATCTGAGAAGCTTTACAGAACAGTTTAAAGGTTCCCCAAATGTTATTTAGAACTTCTATGATGTAAACATGAGGGCATTTTTTTTTTCCTGTCATAATGTTCTTTTCTATGTCTATATTGTGGTCTGCCTCTGAGGATTCTTGTTAAAGCAATAAAGTCCTGATGTGTTCTTATTATATGTCCTGATTCTTACAGGAAATTAAGGCTCTTCTTGCTCTCAGGTCAAAACCATTCCATCCTTGTGTAAACTTCAAAGAACAGGTCAGATTTCAATATGTGCACTTTTTTTTTCTCCATCTGATTTGTCTGTTTGAGTTAACAGGTGGTTTGATAGCACTTAGATCAGAATATCTTTTTCACTGTCCTATCTACTTTCTCATGATCAAAGCCCTTCTTCGTTCTTTTTAGTCTCCTTTCTGGTGCTTGGAAGGTTTGTCTGTGGAAGATGTTTGCAGCGTTATGGACAGATCTGTTTGTTCAAAGTAAGTGTGTAATTTCTGGTGAAATTTATCCACAAATGGGGTTGGAAAAAAAAGTGTGACTTCCGTCTTGTCCTTTCAGGTCTGCTTTTGAACTCTGGGGCCATGGACAATCACACAGTGAACTCAGGACATCCCTGTTAAGCTACCCACAAGAGAAAATGGTGTGTAAACTTCGGTGTAGAGTACAGTTTACCTCCAGTGAATTCCAACTCTGTCTTTTATTCTCCTTTATTTCCCTACAGAGTCCGTACATGCAGAAAGGCTCTACATACAAAATAAATGTCTACACATTTAACAAAACCTTGCTGTTTGAAGAAAGAATTAAAAAGATTGATGTGAGTATTGAAACAGTGGTGGAAGTGTCAGTGTCTTTGTCTCTGGGTAAAAATACTTTGTTAATCTTACTCTGTTCACCAGGCCATGGATTACCTTCCATTTGAAGGCACAGTGAACCTAAAGAACCCCCAGTTCACCTTCTGTTTGTTGGAGGATTATGGTACAGACCCCAACAACATCCCTGAGCTTCCAAACTACATCTACTTTGGCAGATTGGTGAGATATAACACCCCCCACAAAAGCATCCATCCCTTTACTCCTGTCATTTTTCGGCTATAAAACTCCATTACATATTTTTCTTTTTAGAGAAAGGAAAAAAGATAAATAGGGTTTTCAGTTTCAAATAGGTGATGTAAAAAGTGTGGCGTGCAAATGTTTCCATTTGTATTTAGGTTCTCAGAATACTAATACTTCTAACTATATGTATACAAAACTATATGCCATTATTGATACCACGTGAGTAAAAAAAATTATGTAGTTAATGAGGTTAAGATTTTTTTTATTAACCGGAAAATCTCTCCTTTTTCAATCTCAATATGGAAAATGTTTTTTTTTTCAACAGGATTGCATATGCTAGTTGTATAAGAGTGCAAATAAATGTAAAATTAATAACCTAAACATAAATTAAACAACAGCAAACATATGCAAACATAACCTTTTTTTCAGTTTGCAGTTTTGGCTGCCATTTATGCTCATCATCCTACTGGAAGCTGGTGTTCCCACTCTGTCCTAAGGTTCTGTGAAAACCTCATACAAGTTTTATTGTGCTGCATCCCTGTATGCAGTTTCATTCAGCCTGGTTTATGCTTGACGCATTCCCGAGGGCCACCTTGCCATGTTACTTTATTTCTGGCTTCCACACCCCTCTTCGCGGCACCCGTGCAGACAGAATTACCGCTCCGCGAACCTAGCAAATTACCAACTGTGCACACAGATCTGCATAGAAAAAAAAGGTGGCCATGCAACAGCTCCTACTGCCAAGGTTTGGCAAATGTATCCAACTAGAGAGATCCTGTGACATTAAGCCTATAAATATCTATCCAGAACCCACTATCAACAGATTGTGGAAAAACTCCTGTAAAGAAATGAAAATCACTCTCGGATGGCATGAAGATGCTTTGATAAAGTTGTAAACGGCTGTATTTTCTAGTGCTTCATGTACTGTGGTGTGGTCAGCCCCCCTGGAGCTGTCCAGAATGAGGAAAAAGCCCCAGAGAGTATAAAAGTTACACGCCTTGACAGGCGGCTTATTTTCTGCAAAGATTTTACATGTATCAAGCATAATTCAACATTTCATCTTCACGTCAACTCTGCATAGTTTTCTTGTCACAACTGAAGGAATCCTTGCACCCTTGTAGCATAATGCTGCCACCAGATGTTGTGCTGTTTCAGTTTTGTGTTTTTTGTTAAATAAACAAATCTTTGATAGTAGGCCACAATCCACAGTTTTAGGCCAATTGATTGATTTTTATTTTAGACTAGATGTATCAGAGCAAAAGGTGCTAAAAACAACTGCATCTCTTTCAGATTTATTATAGCAACCTTTTACACTACTTAGTTCAGTCTCTGACATTAATGTATATACATTAAAATGAAGAAATCAATGGGTTCAAAGGTGCTGTAGACTACATTAAGATGTGGGGTAATGGCATTTGTTTTTAATACCCAGATAGCAGACGGTCAGCGGGAACTGATTCGCTCCTACAGTGTGAAGAACAGACATTTCATCGGAAACACCAGCATGGATGCCGGCCTATCATTCATTATGGCCAACCATGCTATGGTCAAAGAGAACGACCTGGTTTTTGACCCATTTGTAGGCACAGGTAGGTTCATCTTGAATTTACTTTTAAAAATGATTTTATTTTCTTTTAAATCCCTGAATGGTTTCGCCCCGTCGTGCCTCTCTGAGCTACATCCTTACACACCTGCTCGCTCCCTCAGGTCAGCTGGTCCTGAGAGAGCCTCAAACTAAGCAGAAGCTTAGAAGTGACCGTGCTTTTGCTGTTGCAGCTTCAAATCTCTGGAATGACCTACCTCAGCAAATCAGACAGGCCTCTTCTCTGACCTTTTTTTAAATCTTTTATCAAAACCCTCCTTTTCACTTTGGCTTTTGACACCGAGCAAGACAGTGGGCTTTATTTGATACTTTTTTATCTTTTACCCAGTTTTATTGTTTTGATTTTGTGACCGCTTTTACTCATGTTTTAGCGGTTTTGACTTTAATCTGTAATGTTTTATGTTTAATTTATTTTCCGGTACAGCACGTTTGTCAGCTGTGGTTGTTTATAAGTGCTTAACAAATAAGATTGGGTTGGATAAACATCTTTGGAGCGTGATTTTTATCAGGAACATGTTCTCACTGTTTGTCTCATCTGGTCTCAGGCAGCTTGTTGGTATCATGTTCTCATTTTGGAGCATATGTGTGTGGAACAGACATTGACTACAACACCATTCATGGAAAAGGTTCGTCTCTCTCAGCTGCAGATATTGTGCCTCCTGACTGCAAAAACAATCTAGAAATAAGTACAAATTTCTTAAATTAAGTGTATTTACCATAATTT